AAACTGAAAAAAAAAAAAAAATACTATAATAGTATACAAATAATATATATATATATATAACTTTCTTAAGAAAAGTTTGAGACAAAATTCTAACAAGAATGTCCCATAATAGTACTATGCTTTTTTAAAAATTCATTTACAATGGTATTCTTTTAGGAGTATGAGGTAAATTCCTTGATGCACTAATCATTCAGTACCATAGTAAATATCAAAAGTACCATGCTTTTGATACCATCATCACTCTCTCATACACAGCAAGCATTGTGTCAAGCTCTGTTAGATCTTCTCTAATTATGGGGCCCTTAAAGACTAAACGTCTCTAGTTAGACTCCTCCAGGGCTCCTGAGGGCCTCCACAGAGTGCTGTTCGGGGTCATCGAGCACAAGCCGCCCAGCGCTACATCTTCACTAGGGCTACTAGTGACTGTTGTGATGTCCAGCAGATCTTCAGACCACACAGCAGGTCAAAGTGGGACAATGGCTGCACACACCGCTCCATCAGACGCAACAGTTAAACGGTTGTTTTAAGGCTAATCGGCCGGATCAGCCGCCGTCTTGATGACAAGACGACAGTTAGCGTTGCTTCAGCAGAGCTAATGTGGAACTTCCTGCTTCAGCGTGACTCAACAGCTGTTCTATGGATGTGTGTGTGTGTGTGTGTGTGTGTGTGTGCATGCATGTGTGACATATTCATATGCAACGGTACTTGTAGGTGAATCATTAGGTACCATCGTATATAAACATATATAGTACTTTTAATCAGCAAGGATGCATTAAATTGATCAAAAGTGACAGTAAAGACATTTAAAATGTTACAAAAGATTTCTATTTCTAATAAACGCTGTTCTTTTGAACTTTCTATTCATCAAAGAATCTTGAAAAATAACAATGTATCATGGTTTCCACAAAAATATGAAAAATATGACACTGAAGACTGGAGTAACGATGCTGAAAATTCAGATCTGCATCACAGGAATAAATTACAATTTAAAAGATATTACAATACAAAATAGTAATAATATTTAACCATTTTTAAATGTATTTTTGATCAATTAATTGCAGCCTTGGTGAGCAGAAGAGACTTTCAAAGCTTTTAAAAATATTGCATAATCTTACCGACCCCAAACTTTTGAACAACCGTTCCAAAGTTTTAGGTCCGTAAGTAGAAATTAATACTTTTATTCAGCAAGGATGCATTAAACTGATCAAAAGTGACAGTAAAGACATTTATAATGTAACAAAAGATTTCTATTTTTTAATTAAATGCTGTTCTTTTTTTTCAGGATTCAAATAATCCTGAAATCCTGACACTGAAGGCTGGAGGAATGATGCTGGAAATTCAGCATTGCATCAACAGGAATAAATTACATTTTAAATTATATTAACATAGAACACAGTTATTTTGAATTAAAATAATATTTGAGAATTTATGTATTTTTGATCAAATAAATGCAGCCTTGGTGAGCAATCAAACCTTTGAATAGTGGTGTATAAAAATACTATCATACTATGATCTCCTACCATCACTTTGTAAATGTCTAAAGCAAAAAAAGGAAATAAAACACTAGAAACAGTGCTAAAATGCTTTATCCTTAAATACGGAGGACTAGTAGACACTAGTTGGATTCCAGTCCAAAGCTGCGAGTTTGAAAAGCAGACAGCATGTCTACAGGGAAAAAAGAAACACACACACGCTGTGCTGTCAGCATGACGCTGTGCAGTCCTTCTCTGCTGTGTGTCTGTCAGAACGCAGCTGTAGATTGTGTTAAGGTGACACACAGCAGACCTGCAGAAACACACAGCGCTCAGAGACAGACGTCAGTAATGAAATGCAGCGAGACAGTCTCTTCATATCTCGAAACTTTCTCCAGGACTGCAGTGTGATTGAGCTACAACTGGGCTCAGATCTGACCAAATCTGCAATGAAAAGCCTGAGATCTTGATATGAACTCCGACGTGATCTGAGCTTCTCCACATTCATCTCATAGCTCTATATTCTCACTATATGACAGCAAGCTCAAAGAGGAACAATATATCTAATCGTTAACCTTCTCATTCCTAATTATTTCATCGACTGATCTGTCCATCCATCCATGCAGAAAACGAATGCTACACAGTCTTTCCTGCATGACAGTTAAAGCAGATTTGTTTAATGAAGCAAAGCTTGACGCTGTGGTCAAAACTCCAGCTGGCATCTCATCACAGTTCATCACACCTCGAGCTCCTGCCACGTGGAAACGCTTCAACCAGTGAGACCCGTTTGAGTTTTCCAGTTATTCACAATCAAGTATTTCTTTTTTAAATACGTTTTTTATAGAGATTACACTCTCGAGGAGCAGTTTCCAGCTGATGAAATATCTTAGTGAGGAGCAGAAAAACTTTCCATGATGTTATTCATTTCCACGACTGACCTTCTTCAGGCTCCCAAATCACTATTTCAAAATTCCCTGATTATTGCAGCTTTTCCATGACCAGAAAGGCATGAATCACTTCTATTATACGAACATAAAACAGCATAGCAAATGCTATTATGTGAATCTGCATTAGATATAACCTCATGCATACGATTAATATAAATTTTTTGTTAACAATTTTTTAATGAGTTTTCAATTCAACAAAAAGAAAAACTTAATAAAATTATGTTTATTAATATTATTTATTAATATTATATTACATTATATCATATTATTATACAGATGCACTATATAATTATATATTATTAATTAAAAATGGCTGCAATATAACAAAGAGTGAAAAATTTAAGGGGGTCTGAATACTTTCCGTACCCACTGTATACAACTGCAATAAAAATAAAATATCATGGTATTTAGAAAGCACTTCAAGATACTTCCAAGAATACCATGGTAATTCTTTTTAAAAAAATGGCTTTCCACTGTATACTTTCAGAGGTTTGTAACACCAAGTTCTCCACAGACCCTTTAATCCACACATAAAAGTACCATGGTAATAGTATATATACAACATTGTACAAACACAAACTCCTTATATCTACAGCCCTGGAATAGAGTATACATATGCAGTTTTGGATGCAAACATAAAATAGCAAACGCCAGTGGAACGGAGACAAACAACTAAAGGCATGAAAACACAGAGAGATGAAGCTCACCTCCTCTCTATGATGGTCCGCTCCGCTCGTGTCTTATTCCAAACAATGTAAATCACTCTGCTTTAGTGGCTTGCTCTCTCTTCATATGTGAGGCATGTGTCTGAAACTCTCTCACATATGTGAGCGCTGCAGTCCGAGTCCTTCCACCGCCAGCGAGGCACAGATGGACTCCAGATGGGTTCTGGGATTTAGAACATCTCTCTCTCTCTCTCTCTCTCTCTCTCTGCTGATGTCACAGCCCAAGCCACGCCCACTGCATGGCTCATGGCCAATCAGCCACTGCTCTATTCAATACATTAAACTAGAGACTCATTAACATAACTAACTACTCTGGCACTCAAAGGCTAAACAAAGTGCATGCCAATTGAAGGGAGGGGAAGTTATCCATAACACCTCATGCTGTGTGTGCTGTTACTATAGGCAGAACTATTCAACTTCTTGCACATCAAAAAAGTACAATTTTATTGCTCAGAGTTGCTCTTAGGAGACCTAACGGATGTTTCTTGTAAAATCACTCAGGAGAAATAAAATAGACACAAAATGTCAATTGTTGATGAACAACAAACAGAGCTAGAATTACTATTAAATCTGTCTGTATTAGACGATATATATTCACAATAGTGTTGAGAAACTGCTTTAGGTTTTATTGATATGTTTTTATTTTATGCTTTTTTTAGGTTTAGTTTTTTTAGTTTTAGTATTTGTGAATTGTGTTTTTGTCATTTATAGTAGTTATTGTTTATGTATGTATGTGTGTACATGTATAGTTTTTATTAATTTTAATTTTAGTTTTAGCTATTTTAGTACATCGAGTACATCAAGAACAAAATTAAAATGAGAAATGGTCCCTTGGCAACTAGCTGAAATAAAAAAGTAATTTTTTTAAGTTTAGTTTAATATAATTACAACCTTGACTCCCAATTGTTACATATATATATGTATATATATATATATATATATATATATGAAATATTTATTTATGTATTTGTTAGCTGGGACTGAAATTGTGGTTTCTCCATACAAAGGAAAAAACATGGAAAATTATTCCAAACATTACACTAAAAAATGCTGGGTTAAAAAGGGACAAACCAAGTTATTGGTTGTTTTGAACCCAACTGCTGGGTCAAAACAACCCAAAAGCTGGGTTTGTCCCTTTTTAGCCCAGCGCTGGGTTATATTTAACCCAGCATTTTTTAGAGTGTATTAATAAACACTTCATGCGCATGTCAGATCATTTTCTTTTCAACTGGGGTGAGGGAGGCGAATTTTAACAAAATGTGACATGCAGTAAGAAACATTATCTACAATATGGTGTCATGTGGCATGCTCTCTATCTCCCTCTCCATTTACCTCTAGACAAATAAACAGAGCCCTGACTAGCGGCCAATCTCTCGTCACGTCCAAAAAGAAAGTCAAAAATGCATGACCTCACTCTCAGAGATTTCTCAAGCTTTTGGCATCACAGAGAGAGAACGAAACCCGAAAAATTCATCAGGTTTAGTGAAAGAGCAATATATAATCCAGCCTAGGGCTGCACGATTATGACAAAAATCATAATTGTCGATTATTCCTTTGAAATTGTAATTGCGATTATTAATTACTATTAAATGAATGATGTTTACACCTTTGTTTGAAGCAAATGCATGCCATATTTTTATATGAAAATAAACAAGCTGAAAACACTAACTAAAAAACTTTTATTGCTTTTCTATAGTATTAAGCCTCAAATGTCAACTATACATCGGATTGGTTTCTTCTTTAAATAAAAAGGTAAAAATATGCATGGTATTATAATGTTATACTAAAACTAAAATTAAAACAATGAAAAAACCCTAAAGATAGCGTGTAGAAAGAAAAAAAAAAGCATCTTAAGCATGCAGAATAACATAAGTGGACTTTGACGATTAATTGCTGCTTTGAACAATTATGTAATTGTGGCATCCATAATTGTAATTGCGATTAGAAATTCGATTATTATGCAGTCCTAATCCAGCCTGATTAATCAGTCAATACTGGAGATTATTGTTCTGTTATCAGAACTCATCATTCAGCCTAGCGTCAGCCATTTTTAGTGAATTTTGATATTTTTAAAGAAAATAAGTAAATATTGTGTAAAAATAAATAATAATAATAATAATAAAATATACATTATATATATATATTATACAAAATTGTATATATTTAAATAGAAATAATATTATCATTTTTTATATATATTTAAATTTTTTTATATATACATAAAGATCAGAGCCCATCTTATGTGCTATCAAAATGCATGAATGGAGGGAGTAAAAATCAAAAGAGTCATGTAAAACCTGTTGATTGTGTGCAAACAGTGCTCTGTGCTCTTTAGGGAGTGTGTTTGGCCTGCTATTCGAGTTAATGAGCGTTAACACCAGCTCCCTTTATTTGCATGTAAATGTGCATCTATAAAGCTCGGCTTAAACAAAACAACGACTTTCTGCTCTGAAATGCATCTGAAAGGAGTGCGTAGCCATTACACCACACATGGAGACAATGGAGGACGCCACAGAAAGTCTGTTTCAAATGGAAAACCCTGGGAATGACAGAAGACTAACTCTGTTCTAAAATTTGCTGCCTACCTTGAGAGTATTTTAAGGCCACAAAACAACACAAAAGCATATGCTGCCTTCTAAAATGCCTTATTTTAGCCAAATTCTAAAGCAGTATTACATTATACTTCAAGAAGAAGCCAATCCCAGAATGCACTATGACAAACTGAGTGAAAAAACATCCAAGATGGCAGACAAAGCAAGGGAATAGTAAATTATAAATATATTCCCAGCTAACAGGGAATGTTCTCAGAACTTTAACTAACGTTCTGGCAAGGTTCTCTCAACATTCTGATCAAACATTCTTCCAGGAACGCTAATAGAACACTCATTGAAAGTTATCTGGTCTTATAATCTTCTCAAAACGTTAGCACAAACATACATTGTTTATGGAATGTTTTTCCGAAACATTTTAGTTGGACGTTCATCTAACGTTTTTTAAATGTTACCATTTGTTTCACTTGGGCACTATCTTCTCTAATACATTAGAAGTTGTTGCCCCCATCAAATTGAAAAAGGTTAGAGTGATGTACTGGTAGAGTGTGTAAAAATGTACTGCACCATGGTACAACAGTAATACCCATTCTCTCAAGAAAGAAACTCGTAGTCTTGAGCGCAAATGGAGAAAAACTAACTTGGAAGTTTTTAGAATTGCGTGGAAAAACAGTATGTCCAGCTATAGACAGGCTCTAAAAGCTGCCAGGCACCAAAAGATAAACTGCAGTGCTTTACAACTATAGGACAGGAAGAGCTAAATAAACTTATCACTGCATCTAAACCAACAACATGCCTGTTAGATCCTGTACCCGTTAAATTATCAAAAGAGTTGTTACCTGTAGCAGAAGAACCACTTCTCAATATAATTAACTCGTCGTTGTCTTTAGGTCACATCCCAAAACCATTCAAGCTGGCGGTTATTAATCCTCTTATTAAGAAACCACAACTAGATCCTAGTGAACTGCCAAATTACAGACCCATTTCAAATCCTCCTTTTATGTCTAAAATTTGAGAAAAAGTTGTGTCTGCTCAATTGTGCTCCTTCCTGCAAAAAAATTATCTCTATGAACAATTTCAGTCAGGTTTCAGGCCCCACCATAGCACAGAAACTGCACTTGTTAAAATTACAAATGCTACCAAATTTTGCTACAAGTTTGATTGCAACATATAATCATTGCTGTTAATAGTGTTCATTGTCTGTTTGATTATGTCATTAACTGAATTTTACCCTACATTTCTGCCATATGTACATTAACTGACAGTCACCACTGATAAGCTACCACTAATTATTGTAGAAACTTAATTTGCTGTAAAGTTGCTTTGCAATGATTTGTATCGTGAAAAGCGCTGTACAAATAAACTTGAATTGAACTGAAAATTGTTTCAGAGAACCATCAAAAGTAACATTCGCATAATGTTTGCAAAATGATACAATGGAATGTTCTTTTAACATTTTTGAAACATTTAAACACTGGACATTTTGTAACGTTTGAGAACATTCAGAAATAATGTTTAATGGGAACTTTAGGAAAACATTCTTAGAACAAATTTTGTTAGCTAGGTTTAAAATCTAGGTTAAAATCTTACCCAATATTTGTGTGCGCTGTGCATTTATGTGCTTATTAAGTGTATTGTGTTAACATGCTAAACTAATAACAAAATGTCTACATCTTTGGCACCAAAACTGCCTGATAGATGAGTTTCATCGCTTTATTTTGGGTGAAAATCATCCTGATATCGTCACATGATAAAGAGCACAGGAGCCTGTTTCTATCTGAATCGTAACGATCCTTCACTTCCATCTGCAAGACGTTTCCTCCATCTGTGGACATAATGCAGCAGGGCAACAGATGTGAACACACTCGTCCTGAGCTCTCTCTCTCTCACACACACACACACACACACACACACACACACACACAAACTGTGCGGACTGCTGTTCCAAATCCACATCCAATCTCCTCCACAGCAAAATCTCTTTCCAAGCACTTCTCTGCGTCCGTCAGTCTCTCTCTCTGTTTTTGTAG